GAAACCTAGATGAGAAGATATTCTGAATATTGATTCAGATATTTTCTGGTCTTTTTCAGAGCAAACAGTTTACACACTCCAATTTTTCTGAGTGCAACTGTTGCACTCAGAACTGTTAGTTCTAACACGTAAATGGTAAAAGCAGGACATGCTTACAATGTTACTGCTCCTATTTGTTAAAATCAGCACTGTGAATTACAGAGCAAGGTTAATCTTTAAATAACAGCAAAGCATAAAACACGTGGAAAATAGCTGCATCATCATTACCTGGCCTACTTAGGAAGTCACAGTGTCCTAAGCCTGCTATATCCATCCTCTTTAGGAAGAGAACCATGCTAGTTAGGTTTGATTCCTGTATTTTGGCTGGTAGATGTGGTTTCATTTCTTTATACGTAAATTCTTCAGGGTACAAGCAGAAGAGTTTTCCTGGAAGACATTTCATAAAAGTTACCTTATTTTTTGAATTGTTGCATTGATTCTATTACTACTGTGAGCTAATGAATTTGAATTTTGAGCTAATAATTCTACCTGATGAAGTCATTCCCAGAATTTGTTTGTGCATCTCTGCTTGACTTTTGCTGATAGGCTGCGTTATAACAGAGTCTGCTCTGATTCTAGGATTGTATACCTTTAAATGAGAGAGATATGAAGCATCAGACAACACAAATATTAATGGTCTGTACTGCATTTTTTTTAAGGTTATTTTACAGAATGTGTAGTAACAGTTCCATTTCTTTTTATACCACATATCTCACTGGCTCTGAAATGAGAGCAGTTAGCACTTCGATAAATTGACAAAGATTTAAGTTTTTCAATAGCTTCTGTAAGTGTGTTCTAAGATGAATGCCTTTTTCTGAAGAAATGCACCTTACTAAAACACAAAACATATATCCGTGGTGTCATCAAGAAAAGCATCGAGAAAGATCATTTATTTCTTCTTATAACAGAGTCTCGACACTGTCTGATAACATTCTGTTCCATCATAACTCCAGATTTTTGTTTTAATACTGAAATCTATCAATCTAGCATAGGAAACAGGGACTGTAACAAAGATGTAAAGGGATGCAGTACCCCATTGTATTCTTTTTTATTTCAACCTTTATTTTGATTAAATTAAGGAGCTGATGAAGTTACTTTCATGGAGGATGTCCATGTGGCTTCTGTGGTATATAGCAAGACATGCAACATCTAGATAAGGCAACTTTTTAGTCATTTTATCTGAACCATCCTTGTCTACTTTAAGTGGAATTTTACTCAAAAAGATAAAATGTGCTTCATTGCAGAGGACAGATGAAATTTCTTACCCACTGGATAAATTCAGCATATATCCTAACTACAAGACTTACGTGAGATTTCCTTCTGAACATAACTTCATCTATTCCCTCTTCATTGAATTGATTTTCAGTCATATGGATTTAATGTCAATTCGAGTCACTAATTTTCAATGACTATGACTAAGTCATTGAATTCAAGGGTACAAATTGTGTTATTGACAGAGGCAACTTGATGGCCATCAGAACTGTATTGAAAAAAACTAATTTCCATCAATTCATATTTTGATTCACAGAAGTCTACAAGCACTGAATTTCACTTTGGGCTTCAGATAAAAGTGAAAGTGAGATTCATTCATTCATCAAAGAAAGCTATAGTTTCAGCAATAATTTAGGTTATGCATGGTCTAATTGAAAACTGCTTTTAGGCTTTAATTCCTCTCAGAAAAAAAGGATGGCAATTTTTCTTTTCCTTGACTTGAGACTGAGTTAGTTTGTAAAATAGTCCAAAATGAAAATCCTTAAAAGTGACAGTGCAGTGCACACTTCCTTGCAGTGAAAATGTGAGAAAGTATTTGTTCCCAAGTTTCTGCCCTCTAACTAAACCTCCAGGGTGGTCAGGATTAATAATCTCTAATCCAAAATTTTAGGAGCTCTTAATTTCACTTTTGGTGATTCGATCATGGATGATATACAGCAACTGTATTATTTCATGTCTGTTGCCTACTACTGGAATATTTCTTTTGGCTAATAGAAAAAATAGGACATTTACAAAGCCCACAGTGATTCAGCTTTCCAGTTTGTGTAACGACTTGTTTCTACACAATCACACATTCCTTAGGACTTCACGTGAGTTTTGTATAAACAAAGAAACAAGACATTTAGTTCTGCTGCTGAACTAGTCCTTCCCGAGGTGGGACTACAGAAGCAGCTTTAAAAAGAAGCGGGTCCCTGTGTAAGCATCATTCTGCATTACGTAATCTATGGCATTTTGCTGCATGCAGATGCATTAAGGAAAAAAGGGCTGTGGTTAATCCACAAAGCCATGTAATCTGCCAATAGATAGCCAAGAACTGATTATATTTCACTGTTAGAAATACTGAGGAAATAATTGTAACTGATAGGGCAAAATTAAGGTTTAATATAGGCAATGCGATTGGCTTGCTGCCCAGACGAGTGGCAGTTTTGGCAGTGAGTGTTATTCTGGTTTTAGAAAGTTTTAAAAATTTTATCTGCAGACTGAATTTAGAAGGTAACTGTGTTTTCTTACTTTATTTTCACATAGGATGTCTGTGAAATAGTTATATATATATTGGTAATTTGGATGTGGAAAAATGCTATGGAATCTGACTTAGAAAAGAATGGAAAAATATTTGGTCCCTTAGAAACTGTCTGCAACAATTTATTACCTGCCCCTGTGCCTTTCCCCCATCCTGAAAAAATCTGCGTATAGTTCTTTGTTAGCTTACTGATTTTGATTATTTTACTAACCTTTCTTCTTTCAACTCCAACATCAATGACAAATGTTACATTTTTAATCCAAACCAGAGATTCTCCAAAACTTGTTGTTAGTAGCACTTTTCTTCTGTACTTTTTGCAGCATTTGAGTTTATCTTGGTTTAGTTTGGGAATTAGGTCTTTTTTGGTAGGGTATAAAGGAATTGGGATGAGTTCTCCAAGGTCAGGATTTAAATTAGGCTCTTCTTGTCTGATAATTTGATAGGCTTTCTCAATTTCCTATAATCAGGAAAAAAAAATTCTTAACGAATATTAAAAACAAATATCAATACGTAAACTTGCCTACTTTACCTTAACTATTATATTTAAGGAGATGAAAAAATTGTGAAGTTGTTCTATTGTTTTTGTTTCTTACTTGTTAGTAAATTCTGTGAAGATTAGTAAAGTCAAGAAAATGTTCTTAACCTGTGGTAATGGAACATGAGCTTTAAAACCTCAGTCCACGAATTTAGTGACTTTGTTGTTCTAAAGCAGATATAATGGTACAAAGTGGAAGGCTGCTCTCAGAAAGTAAAAATAATCACAATTTATAGTTGCTCCAAGTCTTAAAATGTTTATTTGAACACAAATGATGGGCAGATTGGATTGACAGCTATAAAGCACTGTGAAATTTCTGAGAAGGACCTAATCGTGAAATCTTGACAGCAGAGAAGTTAGCGTATCACTGCTGTCTGCAGGGATTCAGAGATTCCACTATCCAGAGCAGACATATCTATGCTGATACCAGGATTATCTGTAGTGCCTCCAGAGCAACATTTGAGTACGCAAATGGTTGGGAAGTTTGCGGCCAAAAATGGAAAGGAAAACGGAAGGAACTTGTAGGCAGGTTGAAGCTCAAAAAATTCATGTGAAATGGGACATTTACGCAAACTGGAAATGTGTCCCTTACTGCAGAACAGTGATAACATTGTGATATACCCAACGCCAGAATAGTCTGCAATGTATTAGCTCCCTGCATCGGTGGCCCTTGTCATAGTGTGCTGCCTTTGCTACTTTTCACATCACATATCAGAGAAGAGTGATGGCCTTTCTGTAAGCCTACAGAAAATCTGGTAGTTCCTTGCAGTAGTCTATGCCACATCTATAGTAAAGTGCTATGCCTACGACAGCATCTATTTAGGGTAATAGGAAGAACCTGAAGTGATAAAAACTATTATGGCAACGTCCAGCGTCTTAGGTGCCAGCAACAAGATATTTATAGGCCATAAAAAAAGTCAAATGTAAACTGTTGCTTGATTGAAATCAGAACTATTGGAATCAGAAACTTACTTGTTCACATGCCAGAAAGATCACAATATCGCCCTTCTCTTTTGTGTGGTGTATCTCAAAGAGCAGTCTTAGTGCAGACAGAAAATGGTCTTTCTGAATGCCACAAGCGTATACAACCTCTGTGCGGTGTTTGTTTTCCACTCTTATGAAGGGGACACTACCATAATAATTCTGCAGTTTGCTGGACATATGAGGAGCAGTGAGTATTACCAGCCTCAGTTCTGGTCGTGATACCAAGACAACTTTAAGAAGGCCAAGTAATGCATCAGTTGGAACCGTTCTTTCATGCACATCGTCCAAGATGATGACTCCATAGTAGTTCAGAAGGGGAACAGACATCATTTCCCTTTGTAGCATATCATCTGTACAGTATCTGCAATATAAAAGCAGAAAACTACAAAATATCTTGGAATATTCAGATTTGATTGCACAATATTAATTCAGGGTATTGGGGACAGCAAAGACCTTGTTCTTTCTGTTCTAACAAGAAAGGTTTGATGAGAACAAACACTGCCTATTTTATTGTTATATTTCAAGTACAGTCTCAAAAGAACTATGCTTTTAAATCTATTTGTAAATGGCTAAAAACTCAACGAAAGTCAATGACACTAAATGGCACTGTGCTCGAAAGGATGCTGTAGGCAAAAGAAGAAATACTCGTATCTTAAGATTGTGACTTACGCTGCTTTTCATCTTCCAAACCATCTGTGCATATTGCATACAATAAATAACTAATCCTTGAGCTAGAAACTAATAATTTTAGGTAGGTGAAAGGAGGTGTACACACACACTGAGGCAGTACCGGAACGAAGGTGAGAGCTTAATTCATAATGTAATGCCCTCTCCACTGTTATTCATAATATTTCAACTACACAGACTCTTTTAAAAGGATATTATTTTTTGCTGTGTTGCTCAGTAGGACTTGGCTTCTTCTTGAAACAGATTTTAACATTACAAGAGAGGATAGGATTCACCTCCGTTTCACATCATGTGCAACTGCAGGAAGGTGGGCTACAGGAGGAGTGTTACACAGTTCTCCGTGAAAGAGAAAGGACACGCAAAATGAAGAGCTGTTGAACTGGATTTTCAGAAGTGGTGAGTACCCTTAGCTCTACTGGAAATTAGTGCGAGCTCATGTGGCTGGGAATAAGGCTCGTGATCTAAATTTTATTGTTTGTTCCTGCCATGTTAAGGAGCCAAAGAAAGTAAGTTGATAGAACTCTGCTAACTTTTGGAGAGCCTCAAAGTTATAATCCCTGTGTTGTTGCTGTCAGCCCATATTTAACGTTTTAGGTGTTTTTCTTATCCCTTAAAAATCCTCCTAAATGATTTCTCTCTTGTTACTGAATATACCCTTTTCTAGCCATCATTTTTTCCATCTCAAGTAGACAGTACTTTGATTGCTTTTACATTCCAGCTTTATTTTGTGAAAGATTTTCTCACTTTCTCTTGTGGTTGTGAACACTCCTGTGCTGGAAGAGAGAGAGAAAGAAAAACTAGGCTAATATAGCGGTTACTAAGGTGCTTAATCAAGTTTTTGCACTGATCGTAACATTACCCTTTTCAAATCTTTACTGCGATTTAGCACATAATATGTCTTTCAGGCCTTTTATGGTTTATAGCTTGATCACCAAATCTCCAATATCTACATTTTGCAATATTAGAAACAACTTAATAAAGCAGTGTCACTCTTTTTGTTTCCGTAATTAAGACAAGAGTCTTTCAAAACTACAATAATGTTCTCATGTGGTTGTTAGGTTATCTGAGCTAACAGAGCTAGAAGAGTAGTGTAATAAAGAGCTATGGAGTCAAGTGCTGTCAGCTGCTAACTTTTGCAACTTCCTTGCAAAAAATGGTAACATACCTATTAAGTTGAAAGGATTAAAAAACAAATACAAACCTCAGGATAGTTTCTGTTCTACAGCAGCTTTCAAATGGGACAAAATACCCCACTTCGTGGCCAACATTGACATCCATTTCATCAGCTACACGCAACGCCAGCCACACTGCTGTCTGCTTGTGCACCTGGGTGCATACGACTACACCATGTTGATAGTGCACAGAAAGGCAATACTCAGCACACCACTGAGGAATCTTTAAGTAAATAAGAAAAAAATACATTCAGTATTTAACACATTTAGTAGAGACTGTAATGCAAAAGAGGTAGACAATTTGGAATTTACATGGAGGAATTAGATCAGCCTGAGCACCTGGTGCTTGCCATCTGCCTGACTGCTGGCAGATGAGCTGTACCTGACACAGAAATTATCTGCCTGGATAAATGTCAGGACCCTGAATCTCCTACATAGTCAAGAGCTGGAGTGACATGAACTAAAAGGTCGATTTGGGAATTTCTCAGCTGGACTCAGATTAGTTTGACTATATTGCAAAAGACAGACTAGGCCACTGGGGAGTAGGTAACATTGAAAATGTCATTCTTAAGTATCTCTGGTGCTTGATCCAACAATGTTAGTGTGGTTGCTGGCAAGGGCTTCTCAGCTGGCTCAGCAGTAAACCTGTCCTTGCTAAATAATATTCAGGTATTTGACATAAGAAATGTGTTCCAGGAAGAAGAGGATTCCAAACTGATAAATACCAGAATAAATATATGTAATTTCAAATTAATTAAGTCTGTAAACAAAGCCAGCTGAAAATGGGCTGCTCTGAAAAGTTATGCAGTAGCGCTCCAATTTCTATATTTACAGTAGGAAATCAGTACTGGAAGATATTAAATCAATGTGTTATTGTCATGAGAATGTAGAATATCATTATGAATATAATTTTGGGGAAAATTTTAGGTTTCAAATCCCCCTACTTTATCATCATATGTAAACTAAGTGCAGCAACATCAGACACATCCTTTTTGTTATGTTTTTAAAATTGTTATTTGTTATTTATGATTTTAAAAACATTTAAAAAAGAGCCAGCCACATGTTAAATCTTGTTAAACTTGTCTTAGAACAATTAAAAGAGCTGACATTCATTATTAGCAAGTAGTTATTATTTTATTTTATTATTTTTTTATTATTATTACCATGCAAAATTTGTTTTGTATAAATCACAGTCAACAAGAGGTGGAGTAAAGACCCGCTATACTACAAAAGATTCGTGGCCCTAGGCAGTGTGTATCCAGAACACGTACAGCAGTTCTTTTGTAGGAACATAGGGACAGTCAATTAGAAGAATGATCCCTCTAGTTCAATATGTGATATCTAGCAGTGACCAGCATTAAAGATTCTGAAAGATAATGAGAAGACCTGCAACAAGTTATCCTCTAGCTTTACCTGCAGGAAAGTTTTCTCCTGATTCCCACTCATGAACACTCATATTTCGGCATATGATGTATGTCAAAATTCTTCCCTGCTTACTGAGGTAACAGACTGAGGTTGTTACATATATTATTACAGCAGAGTTTGACAGTACTATTGAGTATTTGTGTTTTGAGTCAAACTGAGATCTTGGCCTCAGTGATACCCTTTGAAACGAGTTCTAAAAATTAATTGTATATTGTGCCGAAAAAGTATTTGCTCTTAGCTGAAATGAGAGAATGGCCATCATTTTGCTCTAAGAAACAACCATACTGATTTTAATCCTGCATTTCCGTAGAGGTTTTTCACCTAATGTTATCACCTGTTTGAAAATCCACTGTATTTCTTTCCTGATACAGCATTAATCAGAACCAGACCCCAATTTTCCAAGTAAGGATGTGCTCTGAATTCCATGTAGGCATTGTAGAAATTTACCATCTCTTTCCTTATTATCCTAGCGGTTTGCTTGCATTTTATATTGCTACTACACATTGCCCACCAATTCTAAATAAAGTTCTCTATGTCTGTTTCTGTCAGACTGGAAGCGAACTCAGGCTCAAGTCATTGCTGTGCTGTACCACTAGGCTTTCTATATGGTGATGGACAAAATATTCAGAGAAGACAGAGAAGAGGGAAAAAGGAAAAAAGAAGAAGAATAAGAAGCTGAAGCCTAAATCTGTAGTTAAAATCCTGAAATTGTGCCTATTTTGTCTTACTGTAACTAAACTGCATGTGTTGCTCGTTGTTATGGCATCAGAAATTGTGCCTTCATGCCTTGAACTAAGCAGTGCCTAGGGCATACCTAAGTCTGTTACAGATCAGAAAGTAGCTTTTCCAAGACCGTGCCTAACATACTCCCAACATCAAATTCCCATAAAAATGTTATTTCAGACATTATAATTTTTAAAATACATTTGGAGGAGGAGAGATCTTAACTCTATCCCTTGCAGGCAAGTGGAAGTAGAATATTTGTACTCTTTCCTCTCTGCCTGAGGGAGTCACTCCTCTCTCAGAGAGGAATACCGTAATCCCAAGATTAAATGCAGGACACCTTCCTGCTCAAGTTAAGTGGCTATGCAGGAAAAGATTGAAGATTAATTAAGCCAAATAGTAAGAAAACAAGTGGCAGCATTAGTTGGTGAAGAAAGAACACATGGGAAGTAGTAGTTCTGGCTTCTGCTTTCTGCACCAAAAATGTTACGTTCTATGAAACTGTGATAGTTGAGAGCTGTGATTGGCAGAGCAAAATTTGAGACTAGAAGGCTAGAGGCCAGGGAATCAAATACTGGGAAAAAGAACTGAGAGAAAGAGGAAATTAAGAAAGACTGGCTAAGTAAACTGTGGGAGGGAGTGGACTGAGATGACAGCAGAAAAGGAGACAGCTGTTATCAACAGCTGTCGATTACAAAGAATGCTGAGAAGGACTTGGGATTCAGAGATCGTAGATGGAGGAGAGACTAAGACCACAACAAAAAGCTAAATTTGAGAGCTGGCTTTGGACGAAAACAAGCTGAAGGAACTGGTAGAAAGGAACAAGCCTGATTAAAACAAGGAGCGAAGTCTGTGTCCACCAAAGCATACTCCCTTCAGTGCCATCGTTCCTCTGTTAGCACGTGCGTTAATCACCTTGGGAAACCGTGTGCATCTCCCCACTCTAGTGCAGATCCACACAGGAGGTAGCTACGCATTATCACTTCCAGTTACTCAGCTGAAAGTGCACGAGGCCAGATGTCGAGGTAACGTTCCAGCCCTTCTGAACTGTTGTTGCTTGTGAAGGACTTTCTGTTTTCATTCTGTATCTTTAAAATGTATGGAAATTTTATGTTTGTGTACATACTGCAACAACATGGGGAACAGATGTCTCTTTTTTTTTTTTTTCCTGAAGTCTCCGTGTAACCATATGCCTTGCAGGCCACACTGCAAGGCTTTATCCATGGGGTGAGAGTGCAGAGCCTGGCAGAGAGTGACATCCACTAACTTCAGTACACCTTCTCCTGTGGCATCTGGTACGTATATGTCGTGAAAATGGAAAGGGCTGCAATGTGCCACTGAAAACTAGGAGACTTAGAACTGATCAAAGGGGATCCAGAGACAGTAGCCAATTTAATATATGTCATTTTCAGTATATAACATTTGACACGTATTTTAGCTGAGCACTCAAAAGATAGGGGATGCAAGAAGCAAGGTTTCTTGTGCATCTTTATTTTGTTTCCTTACTTCCTTTTTTAAAACGTTGCAAGAATTAGTGAAGCTAAAACACAAAATAAAATATAAAACAGAGCACAAATAAGTATGTAGGCCACAATATGGACAGACGTTGTTTGGTGTATTAAAGAAATAATAAAAAAACAGTGTTTTAAGTTTAGAATACGGATAAATTGAGTGAGAACAATGGGTATGACAAAAGGATATAATGACAAGGTTAGCCGTGACTGTAGAAGAGCCAAGAAAATTCTGCAACTGAACAAAACAGTTGCCAGCACAATGTAGAAGGAATGATTTATTGATAAAATACTAAGGCAACTTGAAATAATTTATAAAGTATTTAGATTAAGCCCTGGTCTCTCTAAAGTCAGAGAAAATACACCCATAACTAACTTCAGTAGGCAAGGGTTTTAGCTGATATGTTCTGTAATACATTTGAAAAATATCTAGTTGACAGACAGGTTTTCAGGTTGAGATATGATGTTGTGATACACAAACAAAACAAAAATTTACAGTGCACATGCTGGTAGATACAAGAATATTTTATACAGAGTTTTCTAAGGTTATGTGTGTATTTGGTTCTGAGTTTTAAAATACAGTAGTTACTCATGAATGTATTCTTAGTTCAGTGCTCAGGAGCTTGACCTTTTTAAAGATAGTACATAAACAGATGTGGTTTTGAGATTTTTGTTACTTGTTTATGACACTGTATCAGACAATTGCAGGTTGAAGTGTGTAATTCTTCAGTGCTGAACTTGTCCCAAAGCCTAAAGGAAATCACCTAAGTAGTAACAGCTTGTAATAGACACAGGTGAAATGTGTCAACTATTTATAAGTATTTGAAGAAAATAATTTAAATGTATAAGCGTATATATATTTTTTAAGCCTATAGTTGACCGAATTAATCTTCTGCCACTTTTTATGTTTTACTCTCTCTCTCTCTGGCCTTAGTACTTCAAGTTGCAATACATGGCTGTACATCTGTGTCTGCTGAGAGAACTGCTAAACATCAGTGGTGCGGTGTGTGCATACACTGTAGCTCAGTTCTTGAGAACTGGAAATTATTATAGTGCAATGCAGTACAGCACTCGGCATAAAACCAGCCCACTGCTTATTGAAACCTGACACTAGTAATGCATGAATCTGGATATTAATGTGCCTCATGTAAATAAAGGGCAAAAGCAGTGAACAGTAAATTAAATGCAAAATTTATTTTCTGTTTTAAAAAATCTCTGATATTAGTAAAATAAAGAGACATTCTGAAAAGCATATGATATTAAATGTTCTAAAAATTAAAAAAAAAAAAAGTATTTCCTAATACTCACCTGGGAGCTCTTGCCAGTCTTAGCATCTCCTGACACAATCACAATTTGATTATGAAGCAAACTTTCCATGAAAGTGTATTTCACTTGCCATACTGGAAGTTCTTCTCTTTCTTTCATAAGTTTATAGTAGCGGGAAGAATAAGGCAAGCCATCAAAAGGATTAAGTTCTAAATCTTCTTCACATACCAGCATTTCTTCTTCATCACCGTCACTAGAGTCAAGTAGTTCTGAAAAGCAGTGGATCTCTGGAGAAAGGGTTAAAAACTCCATCTCTCTTTCATATGTTATTCCCAGCAATAACACGTTAGTCACGAAGGAAGGAGTCCTTGTATTGATAGATCATTCAGGCCCTGCAGTCGTGAGGAAGTCCATTTCTGCTTGCTTCAGGAGTAATATTTCCCTGCTCTTTAGTTTTAAAGTTCACTTAACTTTCAGTCTTGGGGTCCTGGTGCCACCGCTGTTATCTGTTTGTCACAGTTCAAGTTGTTTAATAATCCAAAGGATCCTAGAGAAAATATATTTAAGAAATAGTCTTAAAAACAAAACTCCCTAGAGTAACGATGATTAAATCAAAAGATATTTAGCAGAAACTAATTACTGTTTGCATTTTAACAGCATGTTTAAGTCAGGCCGTTAGTAACAGCCAGTTTGTTTGTTTGTGCTGCTCTGCTAGTGCCAGGCCGGTCGGGAGAATAATTGGGGAAGAGCGTGCTGCGCCTGACCTTTATCGCACGCGTCTGCACCCCGACTGGCTGTCAATAGGAGGCTACGGGGCAGCTATTGTGATGGTGCGGATGGTCATGTGGCTGTAATCCTCTTACAATGGGGCTCGCCCGCTGGCTGTGGGAAAAGCCGCGCAGGGGCCCGGAGCGTGCAGTTTGCCTGTGCTGCATCTGCTGCGGCAGCGTATCAGTCGGGAACGGGGCTTTCAGCTAGCAGCCAGTGTTTTGATTTTCTGTTATGTTGCAGTGTGTTAGCAAGTCGGAGTAGTAAAGAGTCTTTTTATGTACACTGTTTATTAAAAGTAAATAGAAATCTTGTGAGGCCTTAGCCTCCCAAGGCATTTTTTATTGTAGTTCTGGAGGCAACTCTCTTGTTCAGCAGTGATACTGATAATGTCTTGATGAAAAGGCTGTGAGCACAGTGCTTGTGTGCCTTTTCTGTATCAAGCTTTTTCTGTGTCACGTAGACTAATAAAAATTATTACCTCTTCTTACAAGTTTGACTTGTTTCCTAGCTTTGGACCAGATTGGCTGCTACGCTAGTAGTGCATTCTCTGATGACAGCAGCACGGAAAACCAAAAGACAAAAGGACAAAAAGAAATGGGAGAAAATCTTTTGTTCAGCAGTCTAAATATCTCAATCCAAATTAGATAAGTTTAATTATATGCTGCTCACACACCAGGCTGATTGTTGGCACTTAGAATGGCTGGCAGCAAAGACTGACAAACCGCCCAGTTTGAGGGCCAGAACCAAACGTGAGCTACTAGAGGAGCATCTCTAAAAGGCAAAAGGAACAGGTGATTTGTCTGCCCACTTGTTGGCATTACTGACCATCCGTGGGGACATACCCGATTAACCGTGATATCTGCAAAGATGGCAAGCATCCAGTTTTCATACTCAGTGACACTGGATGAGTTCACATGCAGCTAGGCACCAGAGATCAGCAGATTTCCCCTGAGGAGAAAGAGAGAGTTTCATGAACAGCAGAAGCTGCGGTCCTTCGTTGACGGATCCCTTGATACCAAATTATGTTCTTGTTTGTATTTGACATCTACTCGCTGCTTTTTTTTCCCCACAAAATCTTTGTAAACTCACTATCATTGAGATCTCTGCCTCTGTAAAATGTAGCTGAAATCAGTCAATAAGCATAAATGTCATGAGGAAACCGACAGAGCACAGTCCCACAGATGTTTCTTTATGAAATGTAGATAAAAGTGCCGTGAAGTAAACAGGAAGTGCCGTGAAGTAAACAGGTGAATTACTGTTGTCCTGCATTTTTCTCATTTTTCATATGAGCAACAGCAGCAGTATGTGCTTTCTACTTTCCTCAATTTCAGTATAGCCTTACTCTCTTCAAAATGTAGAAATTGGGACTGCAGTATTGTCTGGTTCATTGAAGAAATTTGAATTTCTGGTTGTACCTCAGCAATGTGTTGGTTTTACTTTTTTTGTACCTTTAAAGGAAGAAAGCAAATTTAAATTTACTAAATTAAGAATGAATTACTCTTTGAAACCCTAATACTATGAAACTAATATTCCTCTCGCGATAATGAATGTTTTAACGGAGCAGGCTGCCAACTGGTTTGTGTTATTTATCTTTGCTAAAATGGAGCATTTAAAAGCGTATCATGATGTGCAGCCAGGTATCTGATTGATTACTTGGAGCCTCTTTCCAGAGCATCAGTCCAACTGCTGCCAGCTGCAGCCAGCTTCTCTGGCAACCAAGGAGTCTAAGAAACACAGCCAGAGGAAGGCTGGCTTAGGAGCAAGACTGAAGATTGCCTTTGCAAATTAGGACATCCAAGCAGTTGCTCTTTGCTGCTCGGTACGCCTCATTGCTATAGCTCTGCCATTTTTTTCCAGAGTACTTTTTTCTGCTCTTGCGTCTTTAGCCCTTGATTTTCACCTCTTGACGTCCATCTGTTCTGTCCAGGGCCCTGTCACTGCAGCCCTGATTCCTGCTCTTGACTAGTCTGTTGAGTGCAGCTTGTAGTACAGCCTCGCTTGTTCTTGGCTTTGGCCTTGCTACTGAGCATGAGCATCTTCCCTTTGCATTGCTGCACCCTTTTCTGAAAAGGCTTCTTGTTCGTCACATCTGATTGCTGTCTTTATAGCAGGCCATTAAGGATTTACAGGATATACTCTTTAGCCTTATGCAGTGGAATTTAATAAATTCTAATAAATTGCAGAAATGCCTTATGCAGTTGGGTGTTTCTAGTAAATTAGGGTGTAAGCTTCTTCCAAAATATATTAAGGAGAACTTTGCTATTGATTTAAATTGTATGTTATTGTGTAAGTGCTTATGATAATGTATTGTAGCAAAGCAGTAAATACCACATAGCATATTCCGTATCTTTAATGAAGCCTTGTTAATATATAGTTACTCTTTGCAGCTTTGCTATTAAATCATTGAGAGGGGGAGAATTTTTTGAGTGTAAATTATAGAGAATGTGGATTTGTAATATCAAAGGTATTACAGTGTTCTTTCTTTTTTCTTCCATTTGCTTCCATTTTGGCTGCAATAGTTTGCAGTAGCAATGAACATTTAAGGGTATCACTTCTTTTTCCCCAAGAATGTTATTTGAATAAAGGGTTTTGGATTAAGTTTGGTTCACAATGAAGCAAACAAAGCCTATGAAATATGGATGTCAGGTATATCACATTTTAGAAAACAATATTGTCGTTTATTCTTGTTAGAGGAGTGCTAGCACACGCAATGAAGAACAGTTCCTCTTTCCATCCTACTTTCCAGCACAAAATCTTTTTGGTGCCAAATCCCTCCAGCACTGCTGCGTGTGTCAGCACTAAGATGTGGAACTGCCTCTTTGCAACCAGAATCCCTGAGAGTGGGGAGCTGTTCCTAATCTTGATTTACATTTGTCCTGAAGACCTTGCTAATTATCCCTTTTAACATAAAAATATTTATACCTGGTAACATATTTCTGTCTATGTGCCTGGTGTAAAGCCCACTGACCTCACTGTGTTTTGGGTCATGGTCTAAATGAGCTGTCATCTCTCTGAACCCCAAGCGCTAGTACGTCCCGGGGATGTAGCTTCCCAGCCTCAGAACAACATCACTGTAATTTATGGGGTCCTGTTACTAACAAATGGCAGTTTAATAGTGTCTGCAGGAACGTTTTTGGTTGCTTCTTGTACTCGTATAAATGTGGAAGTTTGGCGCCTCAACAAGAGATGGCAAACAAACGTTGAAAAAATTCCTTTCGTTTGAAGACTGTTAGGTTCTCCGTTGGCCTAGAGGCAGCAACATTTAACTTTGGTTATGCTGCAACTATATTACTCTTTACTGAGTAAGCTATAATACTAAAACAGAGAATTTCCCTCATATAAATGCACTGCTGTGCTGCTTTACAGAAGAGCTGCAGTTTTTTTGTGTTAATTTCCACTTAAGGTTTTGTTGGCTGATAAAATATTATTAGTGTTGTATTACTACTATTTTAAAGTACTGACAGTTAGGGCTAGACTGGTGTAGAACAAAGTGCTGTAAGTAAAAAAATCTAGATTTAAGTCCCTGGTTCCCCAATACTGAATGAGAAGGAGACTTGCAAGGAGACTGTGTTGAGTGAGACTCAGCACAGTGCCTATGGAAATCAGTGCTGCTGGATTTGTCCTGATTACAGTAGGGCCTGCTGAGATGTCTGTGTACCAGGCTGCCAGAGTCGTAATAATAAACATAATGCAGAATCCCTGGCTGGCACTGGGCGTAAACATTTGCATCCATCCCATGATTACTAGGAATTATTTCTTATTCAGCTAAGCAGAGCCTAGATAATTTTTTCTAGCTGAAAGTGTACCATATGGCATGGTACACTTAAGCTTTGCTTGTCATTGAAGTTCTTCAAATTTATTAGGGTAAAACTGTGAAGGACACTTCCTGTTAGATGATTTTTTTTTTTGTTGTGGATGGAAATTGGAATTCAATTAAGAATCACAATGTAATTGTTTTACATGTTCATACATATTCATACATTGAAATTAATAAAGATAAAATATGACATTTTAAAATTCCAATCACAGTTATTAAGAAAAGGAAGTTTGACATTATAGGTAGTGACTTTAGAGGATGGTTTCAGGTTAGCATGTCCTACAAGATTTTAAGGGTGTTATATTTTGGCTTCTGCGTACATTTTCTTCATAGGATTCTTTCGGTAAGGCTTTCCCTCTCCTTCAGCAAGTGACTTTGTTTTGTTATTCCTCTTCCCTCTAACTTTGAATGAGCTATTTATTATCCCGAATTAGATTCAAATCAGGACAATATTCTCTGTGCACTTGGAGGGTTTAATGGTCAAAAGCTGTTGTACCCTTTCAACAGGCTCTGGGCACAATGCAGTGACTTTGCTACACTCAATAGTGACAACAAATATAAATTGCTTGTGTATTATTTTTACTAATGAATTGTAGAGATTTTAGGACTTAGTATAGGTTATGATAAATTCATATGAAGTTTAAGTGAGTTTTATTTTTAGAAGGAGAAAAAATAAATTAACTGTACAGATTCAGTATTTTTTTTAATTCTTTTTTTTTTTCCCAATCCCAAATCAGCAGCATGAACAATTTTAATGATTTCCATTACTGATGTCCAGTATTTGTATCCTTTTGTAGACCCTATCAAATAAGATATGTCTATGTACCATTTAAGCCTAAAAAGTACTCCTGGAAATAATTGGTGTTTTGTCCCTATGCAGTAACAGGCGTTAGGTTCCCGAGAAGCACTGGGATTATGGCAACTGCTGAGCAAACATAGGGCTTCTCAGATTGTGCTGAGTTTACTAAACATGCTCAGTTCCTTTATTGGGAGATGGCAAGAGGAGAAGACTGAGGAGAAGGGTTGGGAATGTAGTGCTAGAATGAGACATTTCCGCTGAGCCGCCTCCAGGAATGGACTTCTGGCTGGCTGAATTGGCTTGGCTGGGGACACAGGGTGAGTGCCTCCAATTTGCCTAATTGAAAAAAACAAAAAAAAAAGCTCAGAATGTGTTTTTTTGTATATTTTTATATTTATCACTGCAGTAATGTTCATAACAGGCATACAAACCAGCATTTGCTTAATAAAAACATTGAGTATCCCATTATCTGTAGTATAGATGTGTTATAATGTTGTCCCAAAATCTGTCAGCCAGGCATCAAATCTATTAGTTTACCCTTCATTGGAATGATAATATGACAAGCAAAACAGTAGCTGTATGGATCTTTCAGAAGTACTTTTTTTTTTTTCTTAAGCTGTTGTAGGGAACAGCTTTAAGTACTATTTAAGTATCAGGGCATCTAAAGAAGAAAGTGGATAGAACGTCTAAACAGAATTTACTAGTGGTTTGTTAAGTTTTATGTAATAGGATATCTTTGTCTGCTTTCTATTCATCTTCAAAAAGCAGGACCAGCATTTTCTTCCGAAGTCATTAATATACTATTCATGCATACTGTGGCCTTAACGCTTTCCAGAGCAGGAACAGCAGGAGGAGGAGGAAGAAATCAAGATAGCTCATAGGGAAGAAAGTAAAGGATTTTTTGAACCTGGATTTGAAATGAGATGAAGAGTCAGCTGGATGGTATTAACACAGTTTGTTCCAAATGACGGGAACTACAGACAAGAAGTTTGGGTAGGGGCCAAAATGTCTGATGGGGCAGTGACAAAACTAGTGCTGTAGCGGCGAAAGGAATAGAGAAACATCAGGCTGTTTGGCAGAGAGTGGGGTTTTTTGCTGAATAAACAGATGAAACATTTTCTCTGGAAAGTATCTTAGAACAAATTGGGAACTGTCTTTGTGCAAATGTTAGTAACGTGGTTGTAGTTTTCTTTGAATGAGAAGGCAGAAATACTTTTAAGCCCTGGAATATGAATTAGTAGGGTCTGAGAGGGTAAAACGGAAGGTGTGGAAGGGAAGTAGAGCAGTGAAAGAGAAGGGTGTGCAATGTGATGGCAGGTGAACAAGGTGAAGCACTTGCATTTACAGCTAGTGGCAGACAGCGGTCATGATAGATTTACAGGCAGAAGACAAGGGGTCAAGTGGAAGGCAGACCTTTAGTCACACAAAAGTCAGATTTTGCTGTTGATGAAGAGGAGCCACGGTTTAACCCAAAGAGTTTGAGAAGCAAAGGAAGCACTGTTTTTATGGTACTGGTGGAGTAGATTGGAGGAAAAGGTGAGGGAAAAGTGGTGCAGCAGTGGGAGTTGTACAAGTTCTTCCAAGTGCGTAAGCCAAAATCAGAGAATGTGTTAAACTGTAGAAGAGGTTACTGAAGAGATGAGCAGATCTGCTGCTTCAGCAGAGGCTGGCCAGTTGTTTTGCTAATTCATCGCTTCAGTTTTCTTTGCAATTTTTTGGCTGCAAACATGCAGCTTTTGAAGTGGTCGTTGTTACTATGATGGATTATTGGAAGAAAAGTCATAATAGTATCTGTCTCTTTACTCCAGAATTAATTTTCTATATTGCAAGTTGAATATTCTAACCTCCTCTTTAGGATTTAATTGAAGATGATATTTTCCATATTTTCCCCAATAAGATAAAACATCAGGTCCCCAAAAAGCACTTTGATGCCACAGTTGTCTGCCTTTCTCTGCACAGAGGTTTATTCATTTTCTTGAGGGTGTAGGTTTTCTAATGTCTTCGTTCATGCAGAGTAGAAAAAGTATATGTAAAGTTAATGTTTCATTTCTTAATATTAAAGGAAAAAATTATTTCACAGCTGGTTTTCTGTAAGTACAAATTTTATTGATCTGTTGCAGGTGAACTCCATAAATTTTCATTTACTAGTACTTGTTTACTCTTACTAAGTTTTATGTAAATTGTAACATAGTAACTTATTTAGTGAGGCATGAGATGTGATAATGTGAATGTGTTATACACTAAGGGCATCTTCTACTTAACGAATAGTGCATTACTGCAAAGCACAGTACTGCGGTACTGCAAATAAAAGCTGAGGCAGAGGGAAGAAAACTTTGCCTTTATGAAGGACTGACTTTTGCCTGCTGAGGTTGAGCACTTTTTTCCAGTACAGTCCTGTTTGAACTGAACTGGAGTTGGCATGGCTGGTTTCCTCCACTCACATGGCTACTGTCACGGGAAACTGGCAGGGCTCAGTCTGCTCTGAAAAAAAAAAAATCTGCTTTGTTTTGACAGCAAGAGACTGTTTTCGTGTGACATGGTTCCAGCTCAGCGCCTTCCAACTGCATTTGGTCACTGTCACTGCTGTGTTTCATTGCAGAGCTGTTTTAGTGGTGTGGGTGACTGCTGAGACCTAAAAGACCGTATTTCATTAGTTTGGCCGCCATTTGGATTAATTTTGCCCAAGATATTAGAAAATTCATACCCGAATCGGATCAGTAAGAGTTTTGTTACAAACTCAAGAGTCAGTCTTCGCTCTTTGGCTTTAACCCCACAGTCCTTATGCAAGCCAAAATGTCAGTGAAGTTCATGTGAATTGGCATGACCGTAGTCTGCCAAATCAAGTCCTTCTTGTTATTGTATAAACAGCTGATATTTAGTCTGAATGTCTGTTTCATTACAGATATAGAACTAAATCCTTGGCCTTTGAATGTAATGGGAATTTTGCCATTGACATAAATCAAGCCAAATTTTCTTCCAGAAAATGTTATTAATATATTGGTGAGACATCTGTGGTTAAAAGAATTATGGAAATATAGCTTGTTTTCTGAAGGTGTAGTAAGCCCTTATATGGGGTCAAACTTGGTTATATTTTTCAGATGGAAGCACAAAGTAAATGCTAAATAATCAGAGTGATCTCTTGGTCTTGAATTTCTGTTTATGTTTGTAAAATAAAACATATATAATTTTACATGTAGATTAAGAGAAATACCTACTTTTATTATTTTATCTTCACTCTCAGTAACTACGTTGTTCCTGCTGCGGTAATTTCATATCTTTAAATGTGAAAATTTCCAGAAAGAGGTCTTACCACAAAATCAGAAACATTTTGCAATGTGTTAGGAAGGGCTGTATGATCATGGTAATAAAATCTGGTATCTTCAATAAGAATTACTTTGATTATTTTTAAGAACCTCTGAAACAGGAAGTGAATATAGCATCTTTGCCCTTTCTAGGTGCTTACAGGTAGTTGGATGAACTAAACTGTATCATTTGTTTTTGGGAATTAAACAAATTTTTATGAAGCTGTGAATGAATTATTGAATGTTCAAATTCACCTAATCTTTATTTCTACACTCTTTATTTTCAGTTGCTTTCAGTCATGACCTTTATTAAATAAATCATTACGAACTTTTTTATAAAGGGTTGGTGCAACATATCACAGTCCTGGCTCTGGTGAGGTACAAACGCTGATGCAGGTCTGCTACAGTATGACCCAGATCTGATGGTGATTCCCTGTTGTGAATCATGCTGCAGGTGATTTCAGATTGTTAAGGTAACAACAAGCCATAATCTTCCCACAGCTTCTACAAAAATTACTTACAAGGGTTCTTTTGATAGTCTTTATTATTTATATCTGTTTATATCTATTTATATCTGTCTTTATTATATATATCTGTTTGGTCTCACTGCTGGTGTGGAAATCCTTTGCAAAGGAGTAGGATTAACATGTCAGCAGAATTTACTGTGGGTTCTCCAAGATAAGCGGTGAGGTTTTTTTCGTTTCTTTCTCCTGTACTTAAAATATTTCTAATACAAAGCAACTGTTACATATGGTTTCCTGCTTAATGAAAAGGAATGCATGTCTGATGGAATGAGAAGTATTGTCATGGTGTTTGAGCATTTCCTTCAAAGAAGCAACATAAGAAAACAGTGGTATGTCTTTGCAAATAATAAATTTAAACTTTGCCTGATATTTATATTGATTACTGTTTAGCTCTTACCAGTTGATGAAGGTGGCTTGAGGGAAGGTAACAATTTAAATTTAGACGTTTTTCTATCTTTCATGATGTTACCTGCAACTGTGTTCAAGACACAGGCTGAATTAGAAACTGAGATTTTCTAAAAGTCTCTTACCTGTTGCCTTCTCTTAATAGTTGAAGTGTCTTTACTGTTATTTTGTATTCTTAGCGTCCTCTCATTTAATAGTACCAAACTGTTCAGTGAGACACTTGATTCAAGATAAGTGTGTGTGGGGGGGAAGCTTTTCAGAAATAATAGCTAAAGCAATAAAATCATTGTCATTTAAATCTGCATGCAGATAGGCTTTGTGTTTTTAGGTAGGGAATCCAGTGACCAGATGATGTAATAATCTGAGAAAAAAACCAACCAGACAAACCACACACACACCCCTATCCTTCAAAAAACCCACACCTTAATGTATGAATTCTCCTATCCAGTGATGCCACTAGAGCAGCGGCATTACATCGAAATTGCTTTGGCTCTGTGCCCAGGGCCAAAATCTGAATTGTAGTCACAAAGGCTGCTTGAGAGAGAGTACCCAAGATGGGAGTTGAGGATTTGAAAGAGAAGAAATCGCTCAGTAACAGGTCTAAAATTGACATCTTTCTCCTGCACTTATTAGTCAGTGGGTTTAAAGTACAGAAAATTCCAGACAGATTTTCTTTATCCTTGGGAAATGCGATTTCCTTGGTCAAATTACACAATTTTTCTAGGATGTTACAGATTTAGTATTTTTAATACTAAAATACTAATTTTCTGCTAAATAAACTAACAATTTTTTTGTGGTTAGTATTAGAATTGTCTTGTGTACAGTACTAGTCATAGCACAGTATTTGCTATTGCTGAAATGTTATCCAGCGGACAGGGATTTGGCTAATTCAACTGTACAATATTGCCAACAAATATAGCATTTTCTCCACTTAGAGATACTGAGATCAAAGTGAGAAAAATCATGAAATGGAAGAGGTAGAGGACTTAGCAGGAGGAAGAACTCAGGCCCTCTTTTACAAGATTGTTCCTTTTCGGTGTTCAGGATGTCTGAAGGCAGTAAAAAGTGTTGGAGTTTTGTATATGCTAGTACACTGCTCTCCACTGTATGCATCTGAAAGCTATGCAAATTGTAGTTTACAATGCATAAAAATATAATGGAATATGAAGTTTAAAGTACCCTCCTTCAAGTTAGATGTTGCTTCACTGCTTTATAGTGAGAGAAAACTTTTCGACTGGGAAATCAAACTATTTTATCATAAAGGAGCATGTACCTACCAGTATGGCTCAGACCAGTCACCTATGTCCCTTCTAAGGAGAAAAACTCTAGACATTGTAACAATTTAAGCTGTAAATTGTAATGGACTCTACCCTGAAAGGGGATGTCTTATAGAGAGAGGATGCCACGGCTTGCCAGAAGTATCCATACCATCTAACTTTAGTTATGTATTCTGTACAGGAAAATGCAAAAAGAACTATTGACACTTTAAAAAAGGAAGCGTTCTGGAAGTCTTATAAAGACTTATGGAAATCTTTTCTGAAATAAAAATACTTGGGTGAAATACTTTTGTGAAGTAAAAATATTTGAGTGCGGACTCGATGTATTTTACTCAGAGTTATGCTAATACTAAACTCTGAGTTTGTGTACACATAACACATAAAAAATACATGCGCCTGAAATCAGTATGGATAGGGGAAATCCTTCCTCATGCCCAAATGTATGTGCTGAAGACATCTTCAGAAAAAGTATGAAAGATAAGACAGGCTTTTCAGTTTGCAAAGTGTAGTATTTTGAAGTTCTTCACAGTTAAAAAGCCCTTGCAGTTGGTGCTCGACCTAGTTACTTTTTATCTAAGCCTACCTCTTTTGGTAATTATCATGTTGTACTAACATGATAAAAATTTTACAAGCAAGGGATATAATTGCTAATAGCAGGTTTAGAATATCTTTGTAAGATACATTGCTTATAAGAGAAGTAATTTAGTTGACATTTAGCTTAAATAGGCTTATATAGAATGAACGCACAATAGTGTGAATCATAGGCAGAATAGCTGATCAGTGATTTTTGTTAAATGCAAGAGGAGTTATGTTGGCTCACTAGCTTAAAAAAAAGCAATATTTATATCATTATGGTATGAGGCAGTATAGTATAGCTCATAGAAAATGCTGCTTGTTTTCTGGAAGTTACTTCAAACCCATAAGTATATCTTGCAGCATTTTAAACATAACTGGAAATCAATTTTCATTTTGTACTGGTTTTAGAAAGGTGTATGACTGAAAATCTGAATTCACACACACATGCCTGTCTCTTATAGTGTCATATTGACCAAATAAGAAGTGTTTCACTGTCTTCCCAGAATGTTTTCTAAAGCATGTTGCATCTCAGATTTGTTGAAAAGAAATTCAGTAAGAGGAGTTCTGTGTGTATTGAAAAGTTTATAGTGAGAAACAGAGATTGCTTTAAAATTGAGTGTATAGATCCAGTATACCAGTGTGGCAACATTGCCTGATTTCTAAAGTAATCTCATGCAATAATTTTAGATATTATTTCTCCATCAAATAATGAATTAAAAAGTCAATTCCCTTATTTAAACAAAGATTCAAAATATGTGCATGGTTTTCTTGTGTAGTCGTGGTTTTCCAAGTAGCTATTATGGGTACAAGTACTAAATCAAAGGATAACGTAATTTTACTATTAAATGTCCAAAATCCATTTTATGACATGTGAGATATTTATACATACTGTGTTACAGACGTAATGTGTTGAAATATTTGTTCATTTTTCAGAAGTAGGATCAGCGATAAACCATGTCCTCCAGTTGCAGGAGAAGTGGCACTGCAGTTTCCCGATGCCTTGGAACCCAGAAGGAAAAACAAGGAGGAGAGTGCCACAAGAGCAATGGTTAAAGTATTCAGCTGAAGAAGAGGACCCAAGATAACGTACTTTTAGTGTCATATATATGGTGCAAAGTTAGTGTATTACTGTCTTACAGTTTGTAAAGCATTTTAAAGTTGAGAACAACTGAAATGCTGAATATTTGTTAACTGTTGACAGTTGAGTCTTTTTTGCAAGAGTAAAAGTAGACTGTTTTGCAATATATTATTAACATCTAAAGTAAGTTATTAATAAACATTTTGAATAAGTACTAACTTTACCTGAAAGTATTATCAAGGAATACTTTCTACCTTGCCGCATACTGATTTTTGTTGGAAGGGGACATTCCAAGTCCTGAACAATTTCAGAGCTATGGCATACCTAGAAATCTGCGGTGACTTCCTTGTTCAGAATCTACCCTTGTGCCATTTCTTTTACATAGAGAGTCAGTACATGGATGGATGGTGAGCAAAATTCTACTTCACTGGGGCTGGTGTTTGTACCTCACCTATGTGTTAGGTATCTCTGATTGATAGGTTACACAGCTTATGTACGCAAAGTAAGCTCTTTACAATTCTGGAGAATTTCAGTCACTTGGAACAAACCAGTGCTTCCCATGAGAATATATGCTTACAGACCATATCCGCTTTTTAGGTATTATCACAAAATAAGTAGTGAGTCTCTCTGTTTCCCTTTCCTTTGAAATAAATATAGAGTGGTGGTGTTGGTAAAGTTCAGAGATTGCTTGTTTGGGTATAAAGGAATAAAAGGAAAATCCCTGATTTAGGATGATAAAGTCAGATATTAATGCTTTAATAATTCCTCTACTTCCTTCCCTTTTTTACTGTCTTCTATTTTTGTATGTTGATATGCAGCTTTATTTGCCACTGAGCAGCTTGTTTATGAAACAGTTGCAGAGTGGATGGGAGTGTACATGCTCCATGGTAGAGTCTGGCTGTCCTTAGAGTCTCAGGAGAGGAACCTTCTAGGGAACTCTGAAGCCTTTTGCATTGTATGTTTGCTTGGCTACACACTTTAATCCTTTTCCTCCAGATAAATGTGTTTTTTCTTACACGTCCAGTAATGTCTTTAGGAAATGTATATTGGATATCACTAGGTGGCAGAATTAGACTGTATTAGTACTAATCTTCTTATGCTTTTTGTCAAGTTATAGTCTATAAATAACTCTGACTATACCAACTTTCAAAATTATCTAAATGTAAAAATAATTTCTAATAAACAGCTCTTTAGAAGAAGCATTTCTGCAAAATAGCAGGTATTGTATGCTGAACTTCAGAATATTTGATTAACGTTTCACTTAAGACTTATTTTATAAAATAATATGATAAAACCTGCTCTTCTCCTCCTGAAATCTTTACTCCTGCAAAAAGTATTTTATAATTTAAATTTGTAGATAATCTGTAAATGAAAGCATGTTTGTACCTCTTTGGTGTTTTTCAAAGATGTGCAAGAGTCAGATACTGCTTAAACTACATGTGGAGATGAGGTATTTATATGTACAAATGACTTTTCATGTCTCTAGTTGGTATTTTTTCATATGAGGATAGCTAATATACATGCAAAGTTAAGTTTACTTGCAAATTAGTTTTTGCCTGTATGGGACAGTTTTAAAAGTTGTGCTAGTATTGCTTCTAAAATAAACACTGTTACTCCAGTGTAAGGATGACTTCCTTCCCTCTGTTTAGCTGAAACCTTTTCCCCAGGGACATAATCAAAACTGAAGAAAAGCCCTACTCCAACAGGAATAGCAGCGATTATATCATTTGTATTCTGGTTTTAGTTTATGACTTAGTTTACATTGAAAAAATCATTGTGTGCAGTGATGCAAAACTTAAGGACATTTTATTTTGAGGGATAATACATATATTTTGAAACACTCTAGAAACATTTATGATCACTTGCTGCGTGTTTGGAAAATGTTTGGAATATTTGAATGATCGTATGAGACTATTTCCTTTCTTTTTAGAGAATATGCTACACAGCATTTGTAAATGCCCTTGAGCTAAGAAAATGTCCTACAGATTTTGATTAAAGGTCACTAATCCTAAAGAAGTTTGTGCTCACAGACCAGTTCTCTCTGTGTCTACTACTAGTAAGTAGTACAGAATTTTAATTTATAGTAAAGTGACTAATTTGAGAATTCCTTATACAGATATAAAAAATTGATAAAAACGGAAATGGTTGAAAAGCATAATGTGTTTTCTGAGCAGACCTTAGAGGACATCATATTATTTTAATTTAATACTCAGATCAACTAATATGGACTAAAATTAATCTGCAGATTAGATTACAGTTATAATAATCTCTGAAGTGTTCTCTCAAATAATTTTTAAAATAAAATGATACACAATTTCCTCCTTTTTTTTTTTTTTTTAGTCTTTTCACCTTAGCCAAGTATTGGTGGTTCAAAGTAAGCAGGCAGGAAAGAGGCTGTATGCTTTTGACATAGCTGTATCTTTGTTTTCTGTGTTTAGGAAGAATATGATTATGATACCAAAAATATATGTGTTAATGAAAGACGTTGACATGCACACTCTTCTGTAACTCACTTAGAAATCATTTTCATTGAGAATATAAGTTGCGTTTCTTTTCAGGAGTCCAAGATTCTCGTCAGTGACTTGCTTGCTTTAAATAAGTTGTATTTCTGAAGTTATTAAAAATTGCAGTTGAAGTGTGAAAGGACCAGCTATAGAAATGGAGTTCTTAAACAGTTAAAGGCAAAAGTAACTTCTATAAATGGCAAATGTTCAGGTATCATGAGAATAACATAAAAGTCATTAGAGAAGCAGATAATAAATAATTGCTTTTTTCTGATAAACATTCTGAGGCTTGAATAATGTACGCTTGGAATCAGGCAACTCATTTTCAAATTTTCAGAAGTTCTAGTTCTGCATATTTTAAAATGATACTTGAAATGACTTTGGGAATTAGAATTTTATCATGAGCCTTTTTTCTTAAAACTCCCAGTTGGCATTGAAGGAATTTTTGCACAGTGAAGGAAAGAGAGTTTTCCTGAAATATGGAAATAAGTCTTTATAGATGCTGTTGATGTTTAAAATACATAACAATTAAAGAACTGATGTATGGAATATTTCAGAATTTAGCAGTATAATATTTCAGAGTGCAGTAAAGTAAACTTGAGCAGGTTCATTTGATTGCAAGTTGATCTTCTGAGGTTGAGACTTATTTCTTCATGCACTAGTAACAAACCTTGGGCTTTTCAAGTAACCTGAGTTTGCTTAAAATAATTTTATACTTGCAAAATATCACTGTACAAGTTACACTAACCGCTTGTCCAGATCATTATGGCCAGCATCTAACCTCTGGCATAACATAAGCCGTAGGATTTTCTTTATAAATTCTTGCTCATGGCTAAACTAGAATAACTGTGGAGAATCCACTGCAGTGGTAGGAAAGTTGTTCCAGAGAGTAATTACCTATACAGTTTAAAAGGTACACCTTTTTTCTCATGTATACTTCATTATTTTCAGTTTCCAGGCAATATGTCTTATTGTGCCTTTGCCTGCTATGCAGAAGAACTGAGAGCTCATCATCAGTTTTTATTCCCTGTGTAGTTTCCAACTATATTCAACTTTTATATTTCATAATGACACAAGCAGAAATCTCTTTAAATAGTTTTACTGTAGCTTCGTTGCATTGCAGATTAGATCATGCTTGGTCATAGCAATCCTAAGCTTGATCTAACATCCAGAAAGTCTTCATAGTGAAATATCATTTTCTACTATCTAGTAGTGTGTGTGTGTTTTGTGTGTGTGTGTGTATATCTATCTATCTATCGATATATATAACATTCATGCATATGTGTGCATGTGTATATGTGTGTGTATATATATAGATACACACACACACAAGCACTAAGTAACAAAGGAAGTATAGTTTAAGCCTGTATACCTTGTTACACCAACTGGTTTTTTTTACAGTTTATTTTTGCTTAACTTACAAAATATTTGCTTTAACTGATTTTTAAAATAGCGTTTGCAGATTGTGCACAATAAAACAGAATAGGTTTCTAATTTGTATCCAATTGGAAAGAGGTTTAATAAATCAGAAAAGCACAACTACTCTGTTTGAAAGAAGTTTCTCTCCCTCTTTGGTAAAGTGCAAGAAAATTCTGTTTAAATGAAGCATGCAATTTTAATCAATTTTACCCTAAAAAAGAAGACAAACAGCTGCTGCTTGTTAATTGGTGAATGTCTTCACCAGTGATCTCATCATTTATTCACTGCTTTCAGTGGAGCCTTAAGTTCTGTAAATAAAGGTGTTATCACCACGCAGTATAACTGCCTGAACGTTTGCAACTAAACAACCCTAATAATACATGAAGGATTTATTTTGAAGGCAACTATGTGACCTTCACCCTCACAGATTCACTTTTGTCATCTAATAATCACATTTGCTGTGCAAGGTCAGATCTCTTATATGAAACTAAGAGGAAGGCATATTTAATCTGCCTAGCTGAAAGATTAATTTCTTGTTAAAAATTATACCAATAATGAAGATTTTCCACTCTGAGAAAAAGGTTCACGTCTAGAACCATGGACTCCCGCGGGTTGAAAGGGACCTCCAGAGTCCAGCCCTCTGCTCGGATCAGATCTAGTTAGAGCAGGTTGCTCAAGGCCTAGTTCAGTTGAGTTTTGAATCTCTCCAGGCATGAAGATCCTGCAGCATCTCTGGGCCCCATCCCAGTGTTTGACCACCTCATGGTTTAAAAAAAAAAAAAAAAATCGTTTCCTTCTATCGAACCAGAATTTCCCGTGCTCTAGCTTGAGCGTGTTTCCACTGGGGATTTTTGCTATGCGTATTTGTTGACTGTTCTGCCTTCTTAGGCCGTTGTTGCTTTATCCTGCTCTTAGATCAGCTTGTGGCTTAATATCACAGTCTGTCCCTCTCAGAACCGTGACACAAAAGCATAGCAACATAGTAAAAGATGTGAATTAAATTTAACTAGACAAAATTTTGAGTTATTTCTTTGTCTTTACTTTCCATTCTTGCATACTCTTTTTCTCTCTTATATTTTGTCTTGTTCCCTTCTGTGTCTCCTTTTCTTCCCCCTTGTGAGCAACTTTAGCAGCTAAGCATTCCTTTGCTCAGTTGTGTTCTTATCTTTTGTTTTATCCTTGCCTCTAGGTTTGTCCCTTATATCTGGGGTTTGCAGCTTGTTTCCGTGAGCCTTTACTGTCCTTATTTGTCCTACTGCCTCATGGAGTGGCTGACTTAGGTGTCTCTCTAGATGACTCTGGGACTTTTCTGGAATTATGTATTTATCTGAAAAATGTTTTTGGATTACGTAGCTAACAAACACATCAAGAGCCAGGAAAATGCAAAGTACTGACACAGGGTCTGTTTTCGCTTTTGAGAAAAAGAATTTAAAATTCATTGGCAAGCAAAAGGATACAAAAACTTCATTTAATCATATTTTGTTGCTTTTAGAAGGTATTTTTCAGGCAGACTAGGAAGCCATTGCAAACTCTCCAAGGAAGGCAGTTATCTGTAACGTTTTGTCATATTAATGATATCAGTTCTTATCACAACTTTGAATAATATATTACATGAAATATTCCTAACTGAAAATCATGGTATGGTTTCTGTTGTTCGAGTTAGTAAACTGGAAGATGTAAAATACCAGAACACTGCTTTGTGAAATATGGAAACAAATCATTTACTAGTAGTAGATTAATACTATGCTACTAAAATGAATTTGTCAATTTTGTACTACAAATAACATCCTATTGTCCTTTTTCAAAATTAAATTATCAGTGTATTCTGAGAGATGTATGTATTATATCAGACTTGACTGTTATATTTGCAAATTTTATCAAAAATGTATTCTGTAATCATTTTCTCTCATACCATTGACAAAATTAATGGTTGGTTAGAGTATTTAAAATAATTATATAAGTAGTTGTTCTCTGCCAGTATTTTCTTGGTACAATTTCTTTCCTTTTTTTCCCCTTTAGTTTGTAAGACACGTGAAGGTAAATGTTCCTGATAAAACTGGTCTTTACTGCTCTGATGATTGCTTCTCAGAAAGGACATGACGGGTATTACTGCCTTCCTTTATCTCGTCCTACAGGATTTGATTTTTTTCTTTTCTTCCTGTATTTAGATCAAATAATAGATCAAGGTGCACTGGGGAGAAATATGTACTGTATAGTTTTAATCTAAAAATTTCATTATTAAAGATTACAGTCATAGTAATCTTTTTACTTCTGAAATCATTTTTAATGAAGGAAAATCCTGAAATGACATGGCTTTTAAAAATTCTAAAAAGCTATCGAGAAAATGATCCATATGCAAATCTAGCATAAATAATTTTTTTCAATATCCATTTTAGTGAAAACACATCAAAAGATTTTTTTAATGGCTCTATGTTTTATCGTAGACTTGGGAAAATATTCATATGAAAGGGAACAGAGGTCCATCAGAAGAATGGAAGTGCAAAAAAAGGTACAGTGAAAATATATTTTCTCACTGTATTTATATTTATATAACATAAATGTTGCAACATATATCTATACTTATAATGATATCATATATTAAAATATATATTTTGGTATGTCATTGTGTTTTCATAGCTGGAGATTGTTATTTATAGTCTAGTTCTGATCATAGTTGCAAAATACCTTAATTTTTGACTTGGGATATAGAATATTTTCCAGATTTTGCTATAGATGTTGAAGGTGAAAACCATTAAATGCTCTTTGTGAATCCACTTGCTGGAGCTTACTGTTCTCTTAGCCCATGGATGGGATCGTGCAAGTTCTCATCTGCTTCAGTGTAAGTAAGGCACTCAGTTAAATCTTTAGTGACTGTGGTTTGAGCTGGTGGACTTGCACTGAAGTAGGTTGGAGTTTGCTTGCAGACTGTTCTGAGGGGATGGATGGCAATTTTCAACTAGAGAAGTGGTATAAAGCAGCTGAGGGATAATAACATATAATCTCGTAGCCATTTATAGAAAAACTGTATGTGTCTGGAACTTCATGTCCGTGTTATTCTGGAAACAAGGAGTCTTTGTTAATCCACTTTTG